CCAGTGAGGTAGAGAAAATTAGGATATCGTCCAGGTAGACGATCACTAAAAGGTCAAGGTATTCTCTAAAGATGTCGTTCACAAAATGTTGGAACGTAGCAGGGGCATTACATAGCCCAAACAGCATCACTAAGTATTCAAAATGTCCGAAGCGTGTTCTGAAGGCGGTCTTCCACTCGTCGCCCTCTCTTATACAGACTAAATTGTAAGCCCCCGTAAGTCCAATTTAGTGAACACTCGGGCTGTTCGAAATCTCTGAAATAACTCAGGCACCAGAGGAAGAGGATACCAGTTTTTAATGGTAATTTTTATTAAGTTCCCTGTAGTCAATGCAAGGTCTAAGACACCGATCCTTTTTTTCTACAAAGAAAACTCCAGCCCCGGCAGGAGAGGAAGAGGGGCGGATGAATCCTTTAGCGAGATTCTCGTCTAGATAGTGCTGGAGGGCTTCCAGTTCAAGTTCGGATAATGGGAAAATTCGCCCAAATGGTATTTCTGCAGCTGGGAGTAACTCAATTGGGCAATTGTAAGACCGATGAGAAGGCAATTTCTTTTTATCAAACACATCGAGGAAGTCATGGTAGGTAGAAGGAACTGATTGACTGGCCTCTGGTGAAGGTTGGACTGAGAGACATACGGAAGAATTGGTGGGTGTAGGGCAGCAATGGGCAAACTACGGCCCGCGGGCTGTATACGGGCCGGCGGACCTTTTAATCCGGAGCGTGATACTGTCAGGATGGCTGTCAGGATGTGTGTAGGAATTTGAGAATTTAGTCATAGGTGTGAAAATTTCAAGGAGCACACCTCCAAAATGCACCCCCCATTTTTTTTGGACCTTTATGTTCATTGCAACTTCTTTTTAACTAGGAGTGACTAGAGCAGCAATGGGCAAACTACGGCCCGCGGGCCGTATACGGCCCGGCGGACCTTTTAATCTGGCCCGCGGAGCGTGATACATTGGCTGTCAGGATGTGTGTAGGCGGGGCAGTGTGACGAACGTGATGGGAGCTAGGCTCCTCTCACAGTCCGCCCTGAAGACCGGAACGGCGCGGGAAGACGGCGAGAGGAACGTGCGGAGCAAAGGTAAGTAAATTGACACAGGGGGGACTTGGCTTACTACTTGGGGGGGAATAGTACTATGGGGGATGAAATACTATATGAGGGATGAACTAATATGGGGGATGAATTAATATGGGGAATGAATTACTATAGGGGGGATGAATTACTATAGGGGGGATGAATTACTATATGGGGGATGAATTACTATATGGGGGATGAATTACTATATGGGGGATTAATTACTATGGGGGATGAATTACTATGGGGGATGAATTACTATATGGGGGATGAATTACTATGGGGGATGAATTACTATGGGGGATGAATTACTATGGGGGATGAATTACTATATGGGGGATGAATTACTATGGGGGATGAATTACTATGGGGGATGAATTACTATATCTCTACTCTTGGTCCGGCCCCCAGGTCCAATATATGAACCCATTGCGGCCCTCAAGTCAAAAAGTTTGCCCACCCCTGGTGTAGGGGAACCACAGTGTTGTAGACAATATTCTGAAAAAAAGATGATTTCCTTCTTGGGCCAATTGATCTGTGGGTTGTTGGCTTGCAACCAGGGTATTCCTAGAATGGCTGGAAACATGGGGGATCTGAGCACGTCAAAACGAATAAACTACTGATGGCCGGAGTCGGTGGTTGCAAGAATAGGTAACAGGTCCAGAACTCAGAGTAGTGCCATCCGCAAGTAAGAAGTCAAGTCTCTGTTTCTTAGGCAGAAGGGGGATGTGTAAGTCCTTGGCCAATTGGATGTCTAAGAAACAGCTACAAGCCCCAGAGTCCACAACTGCCCACAACTTGACGTCCCTTCCAGTCACCTACAAAGACATGGGGAGAATGACATGGGTGGTTAAGTCTCGGATAGCTGAAGGTACGAAGGATGGGGCTGGCTTGACAATTACGCAGGAAGTGGCCCGTGGCCCCACAGTAAAGACAGAGGTTGCCTTGCTGTCTGCGTAGCCTTTCTTCCAGAGTTAGGGCAGGTCGGAGAAGGTCGATTTGCATAGGTTCTACCTCCATATTGTTGATAAGTTGCAGAGCAAGGGCAGGAGGCGTTGGCCCTGGAACTTTTGGCAGAACCCAAGTGGCCGAAAGGTCTGAGTACGCTCAGCGCGTCTCCCCCGTAGATGCCGATCCAACCGAGTAGTGAGCAGGATAAGGTTCTCCAAGGAGGAGGGAGCTTCCACCCTAGCTAACTCATCCTTGAGGGACTCAGACAGGCCTAGGCGGAACTGGTACTTCAATGCTGCATCGTTCCAACCGGTGTCTGCAGATTATTTACGGAACTCCACTATGTAGTCCTCCACAGGTCGCCGACCTTGTAGTAGAGTATGGAGGGCAGACTCAGCAGTGGAGGTCATCTGGGGATCGTCGTAGAGGGCAGCCATGGCTTCAAAGAATTCACTCACTGAATTGAGTGCTGGGTTCTTTTGTTCCAGAAGACTATGTGCCCAAGACTGAGGTTCTTCAGACAAGACGGAAATGAAGAACCCAACCTTGACCGCTTCCAGAGAAAAGGTCCTGGGTTGCAGAGCACAATATAATTCACAGGCATTCTTGAAAGCTCTGAACTTACGTCGATCCCCGAGAAAACGTTCAGGAGTAGGAACTCTGGGTTCCAGAGGTGGTAACACGATAGCAGGAGTGGTGGCAGGAGACTGAATGGCAGGTGCGGCTACTGGGTTGGAACTGGCGGAGGGATCCTGGTCCGTGGAAGTAGAGAGGGAGTGAAGACGCCCTTCTAGCTGGAAGTATCCTTGCTATAGATCCTTCACTGCTTGGGTAAGTGCCGTCATCTGTTGGCACAGGGCTCTAGTGCGGAAGCGCCTCTCTCGGCCTCGGACATACTGGCTGGATGATACTATCATGTACCTGGTGATGGAGGCCAATGGAGAGAGGGCTTCCCTTGCAGCTAAGTTCCGGACTCCCCTGAGAGTGGGACTGCAGGAGTCAGGCCCAAAGTTGCACAGGTCGCCTGTAGGAGTGCTGGTTGGTGGTCCACTCAGAAGCACAGCTGGTACCACTGTGCATCGTATGCAAGCCCTTCCGGGATTTAGATGTCGGTTCAAGCCAAGGTCAGGTACCAGGTGGGAATCAGAGCAGACGTAGTCAGATGAGATAGCCGAGGTCATACACAGAGGAGCGAGAGAGAGAGAGTATCCGTAAGCCAGGCCGAGGTCAGATCAGGGGTAAAGCAGAGTAGACAGGTCCAGGAGCAAGCCGAATCGGTAACAGAAAATCACAGGTGAAAGTCACAGGAAACAGGAACAGGGCACGGGGAGCTAGAGATCATCCAGCAACTTGAGGAAGTAATAAGCCTCCTTATAAAGGCCGTCTGGCACCAAACAGAGGCTGATGTGTCCTTCTGCGGTCATGCAGAGTACTGGCAGAAATGCCAGATCTTCCAAAACTTCTGCCGTGGACAGGACCCTGACAATGCCATTTCTGGTATTGGAAAATGCCTAATTCCCAGACAATCTATTGGCTGTTTAAAGCTCATATCAACTACCTTTGGTGTCACATGATATGAATTCCTTGATTTTATATAATTTCCCATTCTGAGGACAGCCCATGATGTCACTTCAGGTTTTGGAAAATGCCTGTTTCCCAGCCGAACTATTGGCTGTTTAAAGCTCAAATCAACTCATTTTTTATCCCTCTGGCCTCTCCTTGGTAAAAAGAAGTTGCAATGAGTATAAAGGTGCAAAAAAAATGGGAGGTCCGTTTTGGGAGGTGTGCTCAAAATTTTCACACCTTTGACCAAATTCTCAGAGTGGCACAAAAGGTGTCCAAACGGGATAAAAAAATATGAAAAAGGATGCAGCAGAGCTTTAAACTCCAAAAAGTCAAGGAGAAAGGTGATTAAGGGCCACTTCTGGTTTTGAGAACACTCCATGATCCCACTTCCAGTTTTAGAAAACGCCTGTTTTCCTGCCAATCTACTGGCTGTTTAAAACTCAAATCAACTAATTTTTCATCCCTCTGGCCACTCCTTGGAAAAAAGAAGTTGCAATGAGCATAAAGGTGTGAAAAAAATAGGGGGTCCGTTTGAGGGATGTGCGCTTCGAAATTTTCACACCTTTGACCAAATTCTCAGAATGGCACAAAAGGTGTCCACAGGGACTTAAAAATATGAAAAAGGATGCAGATGATCTTTAAACCCCAAAAAGCCTAGGAGAAAGGTGATTAAGGGCCACTTCTGGTTTTGAGGATACCCCATGATGCCACTTCTGGTATTGAAAAATGCCTGTTTTCCAGCCAATCTATGGCTGTTTAACCGTTTCAATACCGTGCAATTTTACACCTTCCTGCCCAGGCCATTTTTCAGGTTTCAGCGCTCTCACACTTTGAATGACAATTGCGCGGTCATACAACACTGTACCCAAACTAAAATTTTATCATTTTCTTCACACAACTAGAGCTTTCTTTTGGTGGTATTTAATCACTGCTGGGGTTTTTATTTTTTGCTAAATTAACAAAAAAAAGCAAAAAAGTTTGAAAAAAAAACACATTTTTCTTTGTTTCTGTTATAAAAGTTTACAAATAAAATAATTGTTCTTCATAAATTTAGGCCGAGATTCTGCTACATGTCTTTGGTGAAAATAACCCAAATTAGGATGTATTTTTTAGTTTGTAGGAAAGTTATAGAGTTCACAAACTATGGTATAGATCTGAATATTGATCAATCCTGAAGTACTGACAGCCAATCTAATTTCTTGAGGTCCAAGAATGTCAGAATAGTACAGATATCCCCAAATGACCCCTTTTTGCAGAGTAGACAGTCCGACGTACTTCATAAGAGGCATGGCGAGTTTTTTGAAGTTGTATTTTTTTTGTCATAATTTTTGTCAAAATTGCTGTTCCAACGTGGCTCTCCTCTCCTACCACTATCACTGCAGGGATCTCTCGCTCAATCTCCTATGCAGGGGCGGACTAACCATTTGCAAGCTCTGGCACTGCCCGAGGGCCCGGAGTCAGTAGGGGGCCACATGAGATGCCCTTGGTACCTTTTTCATAGGCTTTTTTGAGTTTGGGCAAGGACACAGGGGCCCCATGATCCCCTATTGCCCGGGGGCCCCATGTGTTGTCAGTCCGCCCCTGCTCCTATGTAATATAAAATATCAAGCGTTTTGAATATAACATCCACGATAAATAACAGCCAGCGTGTCCGCCGTACTTGCCGTCCTCGGGTTCCGGGTGATGTCGTAGCCCCTCCCCTACATGTTACGCTGCAGGTCACACAGTTTCATCAGGGGGATTTGATTGGACGTTCACTACACCCATATTCCCTTATACAGTTGCAAGAAAAAGTATGTGAACCCCTTGGGATTACGTGGAGTTTTGCATTAATTGGACATAAAATGTGCTCTGAACGTCATCTAAGTCACAACAATAGAAGAACACAGTCTGCTGAATATAATACTACACAAACATTAGATGTTGCCATGGTTTAATTGCACATAACATGTAAACATTCACAGTGCAGGGAGGAAAAAGTATGTGAGGCCCTAGCTTAATGACTTCTCCCAGAGCGAATTGGAGCCAGGAGTGAGCCAACCTTGACTCCAATCAGTGTGATGATATTGGATGTGTTGCTGACAGCTGTCCTGCCCTTAAAAAACACACACCTGTTTTGGGTTTACTGGTTTCAAGAAGCACTGTCTGATGTGAACCATGCCTCGCAGAAAAGAGCTCTCAGAAGACCTACGATCAAGAATTGTTGACTTGCATGAAGCTGGAAAGGGTTACAAAAGTATCTCCAAAAGCCTTGATGTTCATGTGTCCACGGTAAGACAGACTGTCTACAAATAGAGAAAGTTTAGCACTGTTGCTACTCTCCCTAGGCATGGTCATCCTGTAAAAATGACTGCAAGAGCACAGCGCAGAATGCTGCAGGAGGTAAAGAAGAATCCCAGAGTGTCAGCTAAAGACCTACAGAAATCTCTGGCACATGCTAACATTTTTGTTGACATATCTACAATAAGGAAAACATTAAACAAGAATGGAGTACATGGGAGGACACCACAGAGGAAGCCATTGCTGTCCAAAAAGAATATTGCAGCATGTTTGAAGTTTGCAAAAAAACACCTGGATGTTCCACAGCACTACCGGCAAAATATACTGTGGACAGATGAAACCAAGATTGAGTTGTTTGGGAAGAACACACAACACTATGTGTGGAGAAAAAAAGCACAGCACACCAACATCAAAACCTCATCCCCACTGTAAAACATGGCGGAGGGAGCGTCATGGTTTGGGGCTGCTTTGCTGCCTCAGGGCCTGGATGGATTGTTGTCATTGATGGGAAAATGAATTCCAGAGTTTATCAAGACATTTTGCAGGAAAACGTACGACCATCTGTCCGCCAACTGAAGCTCCGCAGAGAATGGGTGATGCAACAGGACAATGACCCAAAGCATACAAGTAATTCAACAAAACAATGGCTGCAACAGCACAGAATACGCCTTCTAGAGTGGCCCAGTCAGAGTCCTGACCTCAACCCGATTGAAATGCTGTGGCATGACCTTAAGAGAGCGATTCAGACATCCCAAGAATATTGCTACACTGAAACAGTTTTGTGAAGAGGAGTGGTCCAAAATTACTCCAGATCGTTGTGCAGGTCTGATCTGCAACTACAGGAAACGTTTGGTTGAGGTTATTGCTGCCAAAGGAGGGTCAACCAGTTATTAAGTCCAAAGGTTCACATACTTTTTCCTCCCTGCACTGTGAATGTTTACATGTTATGTGCAATTAAACCATGGCAACATCTAATGTTTGTGTAGTATTATGTTCAGCAGATTGTGTTCTTCTATTGTTGTGACTTAGATGACGTTCAGAGCACATTTTATGCCCAATTCATGCAAAACTCCACGTAATCCCAAGGGGTTCACATACTTTTTCTTGCAATTGTATAGTGATTATCCGCCATTTTCTTGAAGTACTCCTGGGCGCGTCCATCTTTTTGGGGCCAAAAACCACATACCATAACAGTCACCTGTGCAAGCGATCGTGTTATGATGATCTTAAAAGTTACATTGTTACTTTTTGTCAATCCACCTTATTGACTGGCAAGTACACTGACGGCTTACATAAAGATAAATTATACAATACTAAACAAATACAATATACCGCATATTGATACATTGAATTATAACTACTTAAAAGTCTCTGAACCAAGCTGTTCTTCCCAATCACATCACTTGATACAAAAAAGATTAAAATATCAAAAACTATTAAATGTAAATGGTAAAAATAAAAAATATAAAAAATAAAAAATGTATAATAAAAAATGAACTAAAATGAAGATGGGAAAAATAATAATAAAAAATAAAAAATTATTATAATAAAATAATAATAAAAGGGAATAAAACAATAAATATATATTTTAATGATTCCGCAAGTCTACTCTATCCAATTAAAGTATGAATAGGACCAATTAATCTAATAGATCTCTAGGGAACTATACGTCTATCCTTAATGAAATATCATATATCAAAATACCTTACAGTAATCCATATATAACAAATTTAAATGTCACTAATAAAACATGAGAGATCAAAATCCTTGTTTAGGCCACCTGGGGCCAAACTACCTAGTTCATATATCCACAAGGATTCTTTTTTACTCAGCTCTCTCACCAAATTATCTCCCCTCCAATGTGGGGTATGTTTTTCTATGCCCGAATATTCAACCTTATTTACCTCACAATTATGGTATTTCCAAAAGTGTAATGATAAATTATGGTATTTAAAACCAATACTAATATTATATATATGTTCTTTAATACGTGCCTGTAAATTGCGTTTGGTACGACCTACATATATCAAGTTGCATGGGCATTTTAAAGCATACACGACACCTTTGGTGTCACATTATATGAATTCCTTGATTTTATATAATTTCCCATTCTAAGGACAGCCCATGATGTCACTTCAGGTTTTGGAAAATGCCTTGTTCCCAGCCAAACTTTTGGCTGTTTAAAGCTCAAATCAACTAATTTTTCATCCCTCTGGTCACTCTTTGGTAAACAGAAGTTGCAATGAGTATAAAGGTGTAAAAAAAAATAGGGGGTCTGTTTTGCAGGCATGCTCCTTTTTCACACACTTTGACCAAATTCTCAGAGTGGCAAAAAAAGGTGTCCAAATGGGCTTAAAAATATGAAAGAAGGATGCAGCAGAACTTTAAAACCCAAAAAGTCAAGGATAAAGGTGATTTAGGGCTACTTCTGGTTTTGGGGACACTCCATGATGCCACTTCAAGTTTTGGAAAATGCCTGTTTTACAGTCAATCTATTGGCTGTTTAAATCTTAAATCAACTAATTTTTCATCCAGCTGGCCAATCCTTGGTAAAAAGAAGTTTCAACGAGTATAAAGGTGTGAAAAATGGGGGGTCCATTTTGGGGGTGTTCTCAAAATTTTCACACCTTTAACCAAATTCTCAGTGGCACAAAAGGTGTCCAAACGGGCTTAAAAATATGAAAGAAGGATGCAGCAGAGAATTAAACCACAAAACGTCAAGGAAAGGTGATTAAGAGCCACTTCTGGTTTTGAGGACACTCCATGATGCCACTTCCGGTTTTGGAAAATGCTTGTTTCCCAGCCAATCCATTGGCTATTTAATGCTTAAATCAAGTCATTTTTTATCCCTCTGGTCACTTCTAGGTAAAAAGAAGTTGCAATGAGTATAAAGGTGCGAAAGAAATGGGGGGTCCATTTTGGGGTTGTGCTCCTCTAAATTTTCACACCTTTGACCAAATTCTCAGAATGGCACAAAAGGTGTCCAAACGGGCTTAAAATATGAAAAAAGGATGCAGCAGAGATTTAATCCTTAAAAAGCCAAGGAGAAAGGTGATTTTTAAGGGCCACATCTGGTTTTGAGGACATCAGATGAAATTTTACCTGTGCCATGCGCAACTCAGGAAAGACAGGGGGAGATTAGAGAACTCAATGCATGGCTGAAGACCTGGTGTAAGAGGGAAGGATTTGGGTTTCTAGAGCACTGGGCTGACTTTTCATTGGGGTGCACCTATATGCTAGAGATGGTCTGCACCTAAATGGAAGGGGGTCTACTGTGCTGGGGGAGAGGTTTATGGGAAGGCTGGAGGAGTATTTAAAACTAGGATCAAGGGGGGAGGGACAATTAGATTATAACGGGGTAGACAGATCAGACAGGGGTCAGTACTTATTGGTGGGTGGAATGGGGAAAGATGGGGGGAAGGCTATGGCAGATAAGAAGTTTCCCATGTTACAAACAACCAGTGGAATTGGTACCATTTGTATGAAAATAAAAAATATGCAAAATATGTGTGAAACAAGGTGTCAGTCAATTAAAGTGTTTGTTCACCAATGCTAGAAGTCTGCTAAGCAAAATAGGTGAGTTGGAAGCTTTGGTGCATGAAGAGAACTATGATTTAATTGGTATTGCTGAATCTTGGCTTCATTCTTCACATGACTGGGCTATTAATATTCCTGGCTATGTTCTCTTTCGGAGAGACAGAGTAAATAGGAAAGGTGGTGGTGTATGTCTCTATGTGAGAAGTGATCTCAGAGTGAGTGTGAAAGAGGAAATAGTTGATGGAGAGTGTGATGAGGCTGAAGTATTATGGGTGGAACTGCACATGGGGGTGCGTACTACAAAGGTAATCATTGGAGTTTGTTATAAGCCTCCCAGTGTTAATGAGGAGGTGGAAACTCAGCTCCTTGCACAGATCGAAAGGGCTGCAAGGGCTGAGACAGTGATAATAATGGGGGATTTTAACTACCCGGAAATTGACTGGAGTAATGGTACTACAAGAACAGTTAAAGGGCAAACATTTTTAAACCTACTACAGGACAATTTTATGGTACAGTTCATAGAGGTCCTTACTAGGAATGATGCTCGGCTGGACCTAGTAATCTCAAGCCATGCATAGCTTATTACAAATGTCCATATAAAAGAACATCTGGTTAGCAGTGACCATAACATGATTTCATTTATTGTTAGCTGCAAACAGCAAGCACATACAGGAAAAATAAAAATGCTCAATTTCAAGAGAGGTAATTTTCCAAGTCTTGGAGAGCTGCTCTCCAAGACTAAGACTGGGAAGGAATATTGGCATTGATGAACACAACAC